AGTCAAATATAATTTCTACACATTTTTGAAATATAACCATAGGAATATGAAACCAAAAGAAAAATTCAATTTCGGCATGAATGTCACTACTATAGCATTAACGAGATTGGAGAGTGTTAGAAAACGAACATACTGAACTTCTCATTGACATTCATTTACATCAAAAGATGTTTTTGATAATATAGATAATTTCATATATGCTTTGATATTAAATAATTTTTTAATTAGAATTTTTCTATTGTTAGATTCAGTTTTACACGAGTCTTTCAATTCTAGATTAATATAAACTTGAAAAATTTTTCTGTCTTCTTTAAAATGACTTCTTCTATCATTATCCTTTTATTCCTACTTTTTAATTACGATTTCTACATCTTCGTCTGTTTTGAATATTTTAATTTATTAATAAAAATTAACTATGCGTGGAGTGACTTTAGGGAAACATGCCATTCAAAATATCAATGTGAACATGTGAATGTTGTTTTAATTTTCTTCTTTTTTCTCCAACTGTGTTCTCATTTAACTATGTGAAATTTCACGCCGCATTGATTTTTTTAAAAATTTTTATTCCATGTATTATTCAAGTAGAATACTGGAAGCAGTCAGCTTTTGAATAAAAACATTCATTATCATAAATTAGTAAGAGAAATTTCTCAGTATGTATCTGACAATGTTGGAATTCAAATAGGAACCAGTCATAGCTCGAAGATGCACTTTCAAGTTTTCCGCATTCAGGCTACTTTCCAATTCACCCCAGTGCAGATATTCATTGTCCTTTCCCATGCAGTTGATTTTTAAAATAATGGATATTACAATGTATTATTTTATCATATGAAAATAATGAATGCAATTATATGATAATCTCACCTATTTCACGCGTTCTAATTCCTTGAAAATATCACACCTTATAAAGTATTGATATATGCATGAATTGTAATAATTAAAATAAGTAACATTATAATGTAATTAGATTCATCACCTTTCCAGTGCATTCTAATGCATTAACCTCGTTGAAGACTTTAAGTCATTTCCAAGTAGATCTTGAAAAGCTAAGTATGGGTACGACGAATGGTCGAAGCTCGAAAAAATTTTTTTTTCCTGTTCTCTTCACACTTTGAGCTCCTCAGAAACCATCGAATATTGAGCCCTCGGACACATTTTCTCATCGCACATTCATTTTTGACTCTCTGAATGCATTTTAATCAATCGAGATGTATCGAGATCTCGACTTTGCGAAGAGAAGAACATATTTGCGATTACTTGTTAGCAAAGAACTAATCGATGGGATGATCTTGAACGGTCGATTTGTTTCTTTGTCCTCAAAACTATTTCAATAGCTGAAAACTCTAAATTGAAAGAAAATAGTTCAGTGAAATTTATCGTTGTTCTAGTTGCAAGGCTTCTTTTATAGTTTTTTTTACATAGTCAAATTAATTAACATAAAGTTTATGCTTTAGCATAAATCTTCTATGTAACACAAGAAAACCTATAAAAGATATAATTGCTTTTGTCAATCATCGGCAATAGAAATACATATCTCGTGATTTTTTTTGACAAAAATTAATTGAAAATATATTCAAAGAAAATTTAAACAAATGTTGAAATGATATATATTTTATGATAATATGTCGTTTTTTTCAAAAAAGACTTAAATGTCATACTTAGTTTATCCGATCTATACACGCTTCGTAATGGTAAGTACATATGTTCGAATCTTTTCTTCTGAAAAAAAAATACCCGATAGGTCTCGAGGATTCAAGAAAAATGGGGTGCATGAAACAAATATTTTTTGAAAATTTTATAAAATTTCGAGTACTCTGAATACTGACCCCTCGAACCTCTGTTAATTTGACCCGGTCGGAATCCATCGAAATTCATGAAAGAGGGATGTGTCGAGAGCATTGCACTCTAGATCGATCCTCAGAGTGCCACTTTTCGATAGGTGAACAATTTTGAGTTCTGTCGACCTATCAACAAGCTCAAATCGGCACCTCGAAATATCTATCGAGTGGCTGCTTGGTTTGCAATGTATCCGATTTTATTTTCTGTTTAAGTTCAAAAACACCCATTTTCTAATGCCTTTATAAAAATCAATTAGGAATCGATTGAAACTCACTGTAGCCAATAAAAATTGATCTAGCATTAATACAATCAATGTCGCATTTTTTTTTCTTGTATAAAATATGAAATAGGATCATATTCTTTTTCAAAAGAGAAGAAATAAACAATTTTAAATCTATGCTTCAAGACTACAAGCAACTTTGATCATGTACATTTTAAATCAAAGAAAATAAACAAACAATCAAAAAAGTTTTGTGTGAAAAAAACCAATTTGATCATATTTCTCGCTAACGAACGAACACCTCCAAAAGATAACCTTCATTCGAGCTCATATTTTGCTGATTATTGGGATCGATTATGCTGATAAAAACCCTAAACGGATATGTGCCATTAGCACTTTCTTCTTGAATTATGATCATTTTACTGAAATTTCAGCTTATTGCTGAATACTATGTGGAAAACTCAATCAAGGAATCCTTAGTCTGCAATTTTACCCAGACATAGAGCTCATGATCCTTTTAATATACTAAATGGTTCAATAAAATAGTTAATTTATTCTCACGATATGTTATGCTCAAAACAAAACCGGACTTGTTCGAATCTTTTGCGAGACACCAGTATCTCTACAACTTTGTTATCTTCAGACAGAACCATTCGTTTCTGTTGTAACTTTCAGGATATTATAAGGATCATGAAGTCTATTTCAGAGTAAAATTTCCCACTAAAGTTCTTTGAATGCGTTTTCCTCGTAGTTTCCAACAATAGACTGGAAATTCAGTAACATGATCATAAGTCAAAAAGAAAGCGCTAATAGCATATATTCATTTAGGATTTTTATCTGCACAATCAACCATAAAAATTAGCATAATCGGAGCTCGAACAGAAGTTATCAGTTTGAAAAGTTCTCTCATAGGAAAAGAAAAGAAGAATTTTAGACTTATGCTTCAGAATTAGAAGCAAAATCGATCATATTCGTTTTGAATGAAAGGAAACAAGAACAAACTGAGATAATAAAAAAAAAGAATAACTTGAAAGAGCTATACTAATCACCTTTACGAATACGATCATTGTGATCACCTATGTCGTACAGAAGAAGCGATAAAGAATAAAATTTAATAAATAAATCAGAAGAATATTTAATACAAAGAATCAGAATCTCCATTAATGTCCAGTTTATGAATGGGATATCAAAGAGTCTTATCTCTAGTAAAATGTGTTAGCTCCCATATGTGTAGAACGAAAGAGACAAGCAATGTCACTGATGTTATGTAACAGAACGATGAAAAAGATGACCTTCATGGGACTCGAACCCATACCTTCTGCTATCCGGGTGGATGTCCTAAGCCAATTAGACTAGAAGGTGCATCTAAATCATCGTTTAGCGTTCGTATGATTCATCACGAACGCTAACAAAATGGTAACATAAGCGGTGCATTGAGCGCTTTTGCCATCCAACGAGGCGAGAAATATATGGCTGACATACAGATACCGAAAGTAAAGCTCTTGCTCTATCGTTCTATAACAAACGCTATATCCTAAAACTTGCTCTATTGGAAAAAGTATGCATTCTTTCTCATAACTAAGAGTTTTCCAAAAAGGCGTATTAAGTGTAGTGGGTGTGCACACTTTAGCAAAGCTCCAAATCCTACGAAACTTTCACACAATGTTTTATTTTTGTCTGATACGTCTTCTAAGTTAGCACAAAGATGTGCAAATACTTCTGGATTGAGATACAAGTTTTCTAAAAAACTGTGGTTTTTCATGGTCTTTAACGCTTTACTTGATTCAGAAGTATCATTAGACAAAAGTAACGACAGATTCAGAATTAGTTCGAGAAACTGCATAGAATGAAATATAATATGTTAGTTTTTTAAAATAAAAAGCGTTTGACAAAAATTTCGGGTAAAGTTTTCCATGGAAAAAGTTTTTTTCATTTCATTTTTTTCATTAGTCACTCCTTTCTGAGCAGTAAAGGCTAACATTTTTATGAAAAACATGCGATTTTGACAGAAAATAAGCCATGTCCATATACTCTATGAAAATTGACCACTGTGTGCACGAAGAATCTATTAAAAAGTCGCTATATCGACCAAATCTGAGCAACAATAGAAAATCTTCAGAGGCTATGCTATTCTAGTAATCTTCTACATATTGGCAACATATGACGGCAAACGGAATGGATCACTAGAAAATTTTCCATGACTAACATAGGGTTTCTGAGAACACGATTTTGTCTGATCTTACAAAATCGAAGATATGATCTTGTAAGATCTTACCATCTAATTGTTTGACCTCAGAAGATTTTGAAAAGAATATGTTAGTTCGAGTGACATTTGTATCTAATATTCTGAATAAAAACGAACATGTCAATCTTCACTAAATACAGCGAAATGTTTTCCTTCAAAAAAAGAATATATAGTTTACTATATCAGCCAACAGTTCTTGTACAAATTTTTAGATGAAATGATATTAATAAAATTTTAGTCGATTGCTCTTTTGAAAAACAATTGAACATGCAGTTAACAAAGTTTGTAACAAAATTCTAGGACGAAAAAGTAATTATATTTTATTTTGATTGTCAGTCGCATTTTTAAGAAACTAATAATGTATTGAATTTTATTCAATAATGCACAAATTACTTAAAGACATTGCTGAAAAATTCATTACAAACGTCAGCTTTGAAATCTTTGCTGTATAAATAAATGCAACATTTAGAAATAAAAACAAAATCAAAGATTAAATTATAACTGATGACATTTACATAAAAATTATATAATATAATAAACATCGTTAAATAAATCAAAATATGAAGTTGTTGATTGTTATTTGTAAATACTAAAAAATAAAACAACAAGATTAAATTGTTTTGAAAAAGTAAAAATTGAAAAAACCAATAACTGTAGCAAATCAATATTAACAATTGTTGAAAAATACCTGATTAATTAAGAAAATGTATTAACATTTTGCATAAGATGTGCATCTGCTGTTATCATATCTGTAAGATTTTGTGGACTAAGAGAAAATAGAAATGATCTTTCGAAGATACATATTATATCTATAACGTACGTTTTGGAACAACATGGAAAACAAACTGATCGTGCTCCAATTGCTGTTGTTAAATCTTGCCAATTATTTAAACCTGACCACTGAGGAGCATTTTCTTCACTGAATTGTTGTAAACGACTTTTCGGAAATCCATCTATATAATATCTCTAAAGGTTCAAATAAATAAATCATATTCAGAATTTATTCTATCATGAATATTCATGTTTTCTTTCAATTGTTGAATGAAAGAAGCTGTTTATTGAAAACTTCGAAGAAACACGAAAGGAAAATTCAAAACTCAGGATTGGTGTGCTATCTCAGACAAGTTCGATAGAATATCAATTCAAAAGTAATAGTTCATTTTGACGTTCCCACGTAAATCAAGAATTGAGCTAGAGAAAGCAGCATGGAGACTAAAAATCTACTCAAATAACATTCAGATTATTGTGAAAACCGATCAAAATACAAAAAAAAATATTTCTAACATTGCATCAAACAGAGTCAGGTCACAACATACTGATCGATGTCAAGATTTAAATAAGACAAACAGCAATTTTAGATGAGATAATGATTTTGTTCTTTTCAATTTTGAGAGAGCTCGTAAGGAGTCACCAAACACAGATGTTCAATCTCTGAAAAAACTCACTTCGATTGATTGAAAACTATTTTTGACTGTAGATCGAATTAGTGTGGGTTTCTAAAAATGTTTTCGCTCTCGACTCGATTAGGGTCTCCAAAACATCGATCCATATCGGACAGTGACACAATATATTCAGTATATCTCAACGTTGTATAAGCGAATTTGTAGATCTAACATTAATAATCTCGATTTATTTCTTTTATCTTTAACTCTAAATGATATTTTAAATATATTCAAAAATAAAAAGAACATTTAATAAAAAAAAACAATTACCTTAACTGTATCATAACCATCAATAATTAATGCAATAACTAAACTTGATACAACATAAATAAATAAACAAATAAATGAATATAAATATATTTCTGAAAACACCCATATATAAATTGACTCAGTTTCTAAATTAGCATATGTTGAATACATGTCATCGCCATTAATTAATCCAAATAACGTTTCAAATGTTGTTGATATTGTTCGAAATTTTGTATGATAAGGACCCAATACAATCCATCCACAAAACATATATCCACAATAAATAATAAGAGCACATAAAAGAAAGCGAAGAATTAATGGTAATGATGTTGAAATTGTTACAAATAAAAGCTAAAATAATCAAATTAAAATAAAATAATTAAATGTATTTACTTACATTGTATTTACGAAAGAAAGATAAATAACGTAGAATACCAATCCAAGACAATAGACTACTTAGACCGAGTAATAAACCAGCTGCATTATAGTCATCCGTCACCTAATTAAAAAAAAATCATAAAATAAGGCCTTATGAGAGATTGCTTCATTTGATGATAAGTGTGTTCAGACAAGACGGAAATCAGAAGTTATTCAAGTAATAAATACTCAAGTTTTCAACACATTCTTCATCAATACATATATTCTTCAAACTAGTTCAGTTTCGTGTTAGAATATCACAATAATCGAAATCAAACTTTTTATATATAATTGAATTGAAACTCAAAATAGGACGATATTAGATATGTACTAATAACAAAATTCTTGATTTTGATATTTATCTTGGGATATCGATAAGAAAATTGATTTTAGAAGTATAAAATCACAAATATTTTTTTGTATATGTTACAGAGGACATTAAAATCTAGGACAAAAAAATACATCATAATTTCTGTTTCTTCTTATGGCAATTCAAAATAAATAACATAATGATATCATGAGTGTGAGTTAGTCTTCTCGTCACATATCCACATCCAAAATGTGATTTTGCTGACTTATGTATCGTTAATCCAACAGATCTACTAATCATCGCATTTAGACAAGTATGTAAGGAATATGTTTCATCAGGAACAAACAAGTTATAGAAGCATGTGCTTATGATGATAAATGTGCTACAAAATCTTGCCTGTGCAAAACGAAAGATATTAAATGTTGCATAAAATGTCATCTAAAAGAAGTGTACATATGCAAACATCTAATTACTTTTCTAGGTAACAGCACATGATTTACTTTAATTTAAATCGTAGGTATTGGTTTTTGTAAGATTATATAGTTTTGAAAGATACTATAATAATTTTCATGGTGATAAAAATGCTTGTGAATAAAACTAATGATGCATTTATTGTTGCTAGGATAAGTTAAAATTTTCCCTGTAACATATACATTATTATATTCATTTTGTCGAAATCAAGTTTCTAATGTAATATCATATATCGATTACAATCAAAGATTTTCTATCAATCTTAAACTTATAATAATCTATAATTCATTTCAGTTCACAGATACTTATCAGAAAATTTTTATTCCAATCAAAACAATTTATCTCATTTTACTTCTGTAGCATCATACAAAAAGTATCTATGAGAACTGTTTTTTGAAGTAATATTCTTACTGAACTCATTATTAACTAGTGAAAAAGTACAAGATCCGTGCTCAAGTACCAAATATATCTCTATTTCTTTTATATCCGTAAATTTATTTTTTAAAAATCAATTTTCTTATTGATACCTTCACACAGATAACCAATATTAGTTTTCTGCATATCTAGTACGAAGAAGCCATTTATCAGAAAGATTCTTTGATCGGATTCTTCCATTCTTTGTCGATTCGCTTTTCTCTAAAGCTGCATCCATACAACTTAGATAGCTTCTCACATCATCTTAAACTTAAAAGAGAAATCTTAATGTGAAAATCAGCTGGAGCTTGCTAAACATACAGATTCTCAATCTATCAATTATAGTTAAACTACAGTCTGAATCGCTCACTTACATTAAACTATGAATCAACATTTTATTTAATGAATACATCAATAATCGTTCCTTTTGTATCTCTGAAGATATGAATACTATAAAATGTTTGAGAATATATTCTGAAGAAATTAAATGTTCGCTTTAGATTTTGAATCCAATAAAAAACAAACAATTCGAAATTATGATTCAATCAGCAAATTAAATCTATACACAGTTAATATCGAAATTGTTTCTGTTAAAATAGAAAATAATTTTCACTGACAATTAAATATAATTGAATAATATTCATTATTCTTCTCTATATGTTTGTACAACTTCTAAATGAAAGTTAATTTCAATATTACAATCAAAACCTGCTTTTCATTTTGACGAATTTAAAACGATTGAAGACTCCAAGCTATAAATTCATAGGGTGAAATTCTACGACTTTTGTTTTTTGATTGTTTCAGAGAGATATTTGAAGTTGATTTGTTATAATATAGCATGAGAAACTAGAGTCTATGTACAAACAATAATAAATGATATTTAGACTCACTGTGTAACGGTGACTAACCGTTACACTTCATTTTCTCTCTTCTTTGTATGACTTCTTCTTTAGAGTTTTAGTCTTGACTATGTGTGTCTCTCTATTTCTCATTTCTTGCATGAGTATCATATAAGCATGTGTTTCTCGTTACTTAAACACGACTATAGTGATAAAAGTAACTGAATAAATACAACTATCGAGAGTAACAACAACACTTCTACTCCAATTCATTATACTCGACTTCCATCACTCTAGAAAACCTTACGTATTTTACGAAACCAAAAACAAACGTTTCTGAAGCTTCAGAAACCATTAAAACATTTTAGATGGTAACATTTTCTGAAACCTATTCCGACCTTTGAAAAACTTACAGGTTTTCGAGATTGTTTCGGAAATTTTTCTGACACAAAAATGTCTGGAATTTTTTTTTCAGATTTCCTACAATACAGAATTTTTTACGACAGAGACGGAATCGGAGCCAGTAATTGTCGGTGTGTTCCCACTATCTACAGATGAAATAGTACGACAACTCGTCAGTCCAGTATCAGTATCGATTTCAGATAGATTTGGTCCTGTCTGACCTACTCAGATCGGTATCAGTATTGGTCGCGAAAAATTCGGACCGGTTGCATTTCTGTTTTACGGTATTCTATGAATAACTACAGATTTTCTTAGTATACGAATTTTAAACTATGCTAAAGATATTCAGTTTACTTTAAATAAAATTCCAATTTTAATAATAGTTCCTGGTATAACCATTAAATCTGTTATTATCATAAGAAAATACCAATATGAATAAAAAATTTGTAATTCACTCCAAGTTAACGGTCTTTCGTTAGTTCGTTCTATAGAATAATATAAACAAACTTCTCTACATAAACGATGTCCAAACCATAATGATCGTATACAAAGAATAAACGAGATAATAGTTATCAATAAAACCACACAATCCAAAACAATCAATAAATTACGTCGTGTTAATGTGAAATCTGAATCTTGATGTATTAATTTTCGATTACACGTACGAAATTGTGCTTGAGAATTAAGATGTTGACGAATTTTTCCTGTTCGAGCATTATTATCAAATGTTATCTAAAGAGAAAATCTTTTCAAAGCAAAAAAACCTCTTTTTTTTTGTTAAAATAATATACTTTAACTGAAAAATGATAACAATCAGGTAAACTAAACAGTTTTTGATTTTTAAGTTGAATAGCATGTATAGCAAATTCAAGTGTTAATGAATTAAGTCTAAAATAAATATAAAATATTTTGAAGAATAAAAACAAAAAAACAAACATAATTTAAAAACGTTTCTTACCCACAATAATTTACGGTTTCATTATGTACGTTTAATAAATATTCTTCAATCTTAAAATTGTTTGTTGCATTTAATGTGGAACAATCTAAATAAAATGAATATAGTTAAATTTATAATTGAAATATTCTCTACTATTTTCTGTTTCAGAATCTAATATATAGGTATGTGAAGTTGGATCAATTCGACATGTTTTAAAACGATCCAAACATAAATTAATGTAACGTTCACGTGAATCTGAATCAGAACTATATGATTTTTGTGTTGCATGCTCATGATAATCAAATAAACCCAGTGATATATTTGTTAAATTATTAAACTAAATATTAATATGAATTCAATAAATAAAAATATTTAATTCATCAAGAATTTTACTCGATGTACAGCATAATTAATTGAATCAATAAAATCTTGATTAGTATAAACAGCAAAATCTCCTGATGCTCTTGGATATGGTAATGTTTCATCCGCTGAACTCCAACCACGAATAAATAAATGATGAAATGTTATATTACTTTCAGAAATAAATACAACATGTGATTGTCTTTCAATACCAAAAAGGATTAACTAAAAAAAAAGCAAATCGATAGAATTTTTGTTTGTTTTATTAGAAATAAAAATGAACCTGTGTAGTAAGAATAATAATTTTAATAAATTGAAACCACGCTTTCCATGGACATTGTCGTTTTAAATGCCATTTCCAACATGGTGACATTAAAAAAAATCGTAATTTTGCACGTAAATGTGTACCATTATCATGTGAACAAGTTCCATTTGATGTTGTTGTTAATGGTGGTTGTTCGAATTGAACTGTTGATGATGATGTTCTACTTCCATTGCATTGTGAATCATCAAATGGTAAATCAAGTAAAGGCATATTATCTCGTTTTATACCTACTGATATTCTATTAGATGTTGATAAAAACAAAGAACGAATCATTAATTTGATATAAAATAAATCAATAGATATATTTTTGGTGTAAAGTCTCACTTTGCAATCATATTAGTAGCCATTATCAGTGCTCGATGGTGTAATCTATATTCTCACTAATGTTCTTTTTCTCGTTTTATTTCTTATCAAGTACATCAACTCTCTCTTCGTTCCTGACTTTATCTTTCGTTTGTGTTGAAGGGCAAACGAAGCACACGTTGTATAGACGATTTCTTTTTTATCTGTAAGCAAAGAAAAAAATATGGACTTTCTTTCTTTCTTTCGATCTACATGTGTAGAGAGAATGAAAAGATAACAATCATGATTTTTGTTGGTTGTATGATGATTCTTTGTTTAGTCTTGATTGAAGCATTACTCTGGAATATTCATTTGATAAATATATTGACTATTCAAAGTTTGTTTTTCATGTCTTTATTTTTTGTATTAAAAAATATTCGAATATAAGTATATTATAATACTCTTGATATTGGTTTTTTACGTTGCAATTTCAAAGAAATTACTTCTATTCTATACTGAAAATTAAAGAAGTCGGATTTTCTCACACTTTAAATGTGTATAAAAGAAAGAAGGAAACAAAAGAAAATAATTTCTTATTTCAAATTTTAAATGAAATAACAAAAATAAATCTTTCATGGATGTTTTTTTTCCTCTTTATTAAAAGATAAAATTAGAATTAACGAATGGATTGTATGTCAATCAGGATAAAAAAAAGTCGTTTATCTTGTATGTAGTCAGTAATAAACATATTTTTCTAATACTTTCACAATATGTACGACATTGATAATCATTTTTTAAATAATTCATAATAGCCAAAACTCAAAATAATCAATGACTGATTTTTAATATTATTTGAATTGTCTTCTTCAATATAACCTAATTATTCAATAACTGAATTTACAAAATAGATCAATATTAACTAGATTGGTATTGAATAGTTACGATTATACTCGTAGCTATAATTATAATAAGAAAAAAATTCGGATTTATTTGAATACATATAATTATTAAAAAAATACCAAGATATTACTCATAGACTATCTATAACCTCCCAGGAAGTCCCCCAAAATTCCATCATTAAAACACGTACGGAGCTCGGACTGGTTCAAAATTAAAAGCTACACAGGTACGCACTTTGTATGTGAACAGAATTTTGAAATTCATTTCCATTCATTGTCAATGACCATTTTATCAGGTTTAAGATTAAAATAAGCATAAGAAAGCTTCTCCGAAAGACATTAAATCTCACTTTTCTCAAGACCGAAATCATATGGAAAAAAAGAAAATCTGGTCGAACTAAAATTGTTTTTACTTAGATCATCCAAACAAGAGAAAAAAGGATTTATGTCAAGCGGTCTAGCAGGAATTTTAACATTATTCACTAAAATTATGATGAGAGATTAATGACAAGAATGTACATTATTGACAATACGGTTTAAAATCTTATCAAAAGATTGTCTTAGATTCTAGAACATAGAAGTTAAGTGATGCCTTTCTATGGTGAATCTAACCTTATGTAAGGTTATCAGCATCATAAACATAAAGTTTTACAGGAAATCATAGATTTTAAGGAGTTTCTAGAAAACCTATAAAATTTCCGTGCTCAAGAAGAAAGTCGACTATGATTTGCCTTAGAAAAGTTGCTTTTTTCAGAACATTTCCTTAAAGTTTTTTTTTTCAATTTGACTGAGATGTCAAAGCAAATAATCGAACTCGAAACTTATCTATCGTTACAAAAAGGCTGGAATGATAAATCTCAGTCAAAAATATAAAAACTAAACCATGAATTCAATCATGTGAAAACTAAATGATTGATAAATTCGTCGAAATTTTATGGAATTGTATACTTTTTGAATCATTGAAACACAATTGATTTTTAGAATTGTTTTTTGTCAAAACATTCTCCACGATATTCATCCTTGGTAGAATGTACTCTGTTGGACATATTGAATACGGCATAGACGAAATTTCATTATATGAATTCATTTGAAAGTCTTTTCATGTACCAAGTTGATTTTTGTTTTTGAATAATGCAAAATAAAACAATACTGTTATTCAATATAAACCTGCCTTAGTTTTCATGGATTCACTCCTCTTTGTTCCAGACATATGATATAAAATTTAAACAACAAAACAAAATATTAATTCTCAATGTTTTTTTTCGCGTTTCATGGTATTGATCGTCAATAACATACACATTCTGTCTATGTCGACGATTCACTACAAGAACCCTTCATAAATCCTTTTTCCTTGCAATATTTTTGACATTAAACTTCATACGTTATAAATGGCCTATAACAACCGTTGTTACGAATGATTCGTTTCAAAACCTTGTCTGAATTATTACTCATTCAGTGAATTATAAAAAAAAATGGTAAATATTGAATAAAAGCACGAATTGTACATATTATTTATGGACACAAAAATTGTCATCAACTGCTAACCTATATAAAACAATCTGAAACGTTATTTTTTGCAAAATTTAGAGAAACTTATGTGACTGTATTCCAAATCAGGACTTTAGCTACAAATAACAAATCTGATCTGATTTATTATTTATTATTTCTTTTTCCATTTGATGATATTTTATATACAGTCAAGCGTATATATATTTTAAGTCGTTCTATATCGTACTGCCAACTATTACATAATAACTTTTTAACAGAGTCTACATATACAATACAAAAAATTGCCCTCGAGATTGCTTATGTTATGCATTGAGAGTAATTACACATTTTTGTTCGAAATTGATATTTTGACATGAGCTAGAATATTTCAAATTCTCTCTTCTAATAAGTATCTAATAAAGACTACATCAAATCTAGTTCTATTTTAAGTACAGTGCACATTCAATGCTCAGATAAATACTAGCATGAAGTTCATACCATTCTTGGAAATCTATTTACAATATTCGGTTGGTCACACCCATAGTTAACGGCAAGATATGAAAAGCTAAAGAATCAGCTCCGAAAAACCTAACATTAACTAGAATCTGAGCTATACAGACACCTTATCGGTACTAACTGGAATTCAATAACAAAAAGTTCCTTCGCTGACACTCTCGCACCAGAAAAATTTTTGTAATTAGAATCACCATTGAGATGATCTGACTAACCGAAGTTCGAACGCTCAAAGCAGGGCTGTCATGAACTGCGGCGGGATGTGAAGGAGACTTCCCCAATTTTGGAAAATTTTGGTTTTTCTGCTCGATGCTTTTTCAAAATTTTTGAAATTTATTAAAGCTTTTCGAAAATTCTCAAAAATTTTTTAGAAAATTTTAAAAACGCTTCACATATTTCCTACATGTGTTTTTTAACATTTGGATAAGTTATAACAACTTTTGAAATATTTTTCAGAAAGTTGTCTCCCCCATATTTTTCGCTTCGCGACATCCCTGGCTCAAAGCTTAAGTCTACGACGTAGGACTACATATTGAAAACATCTGATTGCCTCAACTCCTAGCAAGAAATAACCTAATGGGACAACAGCTGAATAGTAGATTATCGTGACCAGGTTTAAACAAGTTTAATCATCCTTGAATGTCCCGAATTAGTCTCAACCGTACTTAATTACTCTTAATAATAGAGATGAGCGGCTAGTTGTTCGTCGGCGCCCCTCTGGGGCGTCACTCACGACTAGCCGCTCCACTGTGTAACTTTATTTCTTCATTCTTGGTATTTCTACGTCTACGATCTCTCTCATTTATCTTTGGGCTTCTTCAATTTTACCTTACGATAGATCTAGACACCCTGATTGAGAAGCTTTATTTACACAAACTATTGTCAAAATTCTGATCGGCTGGAATTCCAGCCTGAAAGAATCTGACTGGTCGAAAGTCCGACATCGAAAACCCCTAATTGGCTGAATTTTCAGCTCGAAAAATAAGAATGGCATCGGTTTGTGTTTTTTTTACCTTTGACCCTGACACATACGCCCACACACTCATACAACCGCATTTTATTTCGTATGACTCTCCCGACAGTCGAGGAAATATCGTCATTACTGTAACAGCCAAAAGGATTTGGCTACTTTTAATTCATTTTTATCAGAGACTGGAAGTGTACAAATACACCGCCGAAGGACAATCGTAAATCAGAGTTGTGATCAGTCTACAAGTTTTCAACCGATTTGGCCTCTCACTGGTCAAGTCAACAAATCTTTGAAATCAGTGAAGACTGACAGATTTATTAGCTTCTTTTCACCAACTTAAGGTGATGTTTGTATAAAGCATTTTCTTTGCAATTTTGCTTGAATTTTCACAATTTCTTGAGAAAAATATCAGATTTCAGTGTCCCAGTCTGCAAGCTGTTCGAAAGTTTCACAACTGACATTTTCTAACGGGATATGAGGTATTACATTCCAGATAGTTGGCACTCATGTTGAGTTCTACATTTTTCTGTTCTTTTTGTATCAAAGAAGCTACTACTTATTCTAGATATAAACATCTAAGATTACGCTTGACCTCTGACAAAGCCTCCTACATTAAATGAAGAGACCAAGTTCATATAATAGGAGAGACATAAAACAGTGATGACTAGGAAAAAATAGATAAATGATATTTAACAGCGGTGCTCTTATTTTGTTTTGATAAGAGTATAAAACTTTTGTCTAAAGGCGTTTTATCAAGGCAAAATATATATATATTGACCATTTTTCCTAATCGGTAAAAAACGATATGGACCGAACGATTCAACTGTTTTGCGTCATTCTTCTCGAACGCATTACAAATTTTGATACGCAGTGAGACCTTCTTAATTAAAACGAAAGTCGAATGATGTAAGCATGTCAAATAGCAATCTTCACTTGACACCACCGATATTTACAACCGGTACTAAAATATATTAGCGGTCGTATTCGTACCGAAGTACTCACAATTATACTAGTAAGGTACTTAACTTCATTGCTACTGCTACCAATACTAAGTACGCGTATACTTAGGTACATTTGTGCTCAGTGCCCAGCACTTAAGTACACTTTTTCAGCACAAGTAAATCTACTTGTACTACAAAAAGAAACTTAGTATTTGAAATTTTTCAAAACAAAGTATCAAAAATACTGAACATTG